ATGATTGGCAAACCAAGTAAAACATTCTATATTTCCAATAAATTGTAAAACGTTAAATTGTACAACGCCAATGACCCTATGAGGTTGAGGCATAAATAAATAAAAAATAATAATATTTTAAATTTCACAAATCAGTTGTGAAGGTATATAGTTACTTTTTGCTAGATTATTAATGAACTAATTTTGACCACAGGATATTTAATTTAACAATAACCTCTTTCTCGATCGATGTGTTCTTAAAGTTTAAATAGCATGAAGGTTCGTAATCATTGCTTAAGTCTAAATAAAAATTAGCGGTAAAATAAACCACTATTTGTAAAAGAAAATCATAACTTCAATGAACATGCATTTCTAAATGCAAATTGTATTGCTAAATTTCGTACCGTGTGTCGTTTCTATGCATTTGGTTTTAATTATACGTTTGGAGATACTCACCTTCTTTTCGTAATACCTTATAGTATATTATATGACAGTATATTAATAATCAATGTATAGCCATTGAAATGTAAACTCCAGTCGAGTGTAACCTTTCACTTTCTTTTGTAGGAGGAGGGTAAAATAATGTCTTAAGTATAAGAATTCCATAATTACTTCAATTCTTCTCTGTTTCATCTATTCATCCATTTCGGATCTGCGAATTTTTGACGTCATTTTATATTCCATTTTACATCAGATGTATCCTGTAAATCCTAATTTTTATGTTGGTATTTTCTTCTTACATCTCTTAATTTATTCTTTTTAAACCACTTATTTTTGTGTAAATCCTTTACTCTCTATTACTAAAATAATTTTCCTATTGCACCTTTGACACTGAATTTCTGCTATATTGGAAATTAACCACAATAATTAAAATAAATAAATGTCCTTATTTGATATATGAGTGTGATATCCGAATGATTATTCCACGGAATCTTTTTTTTTTGCAAGAGTATTGTTTTCTACCTCGGAATATAACCAGTTTTTATGGAGTTTAATAATAATGACACGTTCATTGTTCATGTCTTCATGTCTACACATCGGCACCATTAAACGAAAATATATATTTTTTTAACATAGCGTTTATTTGCAAGTGGACTACTCATTTGTTAACAATATTAAATCAAAAATTATTATAAGCTAATAGTAATTTCCCCATTCTTTTCTACCAAAGCATGATTTTGTGTAGTTTTTATTTTTATTTTATTTATCGTATGGCAATTACAACACATTTAGAACAAAATTACAAACACTAGTAATATAGGTATATGACAAACTTTAAATAATTACAAACAAACATCAAGTGTATTAACATAATCAATTGACTCTGAAGTTGCAAACAGGAAGTCTTCAGAGCTACCGTTATAAGATCTTGAGGGACACTCTTCAATAATGTGGTCGATCGTTTGGTCCTTCCCACAGTCACATTGAGGAGACGGATTCTTTCCCCATTTATGTAGCATGTATGCACATCTGCCATGTCTGGTTCGGATCCTGTTTAGAGTGGACCATGTTTTACGTGGAAGATCAAAACCTGGTGGTTTGTGGGTAATACAGGGCATGTTATTTTGCCATGCATTCCATTCTTGGGACCACGCATTCGTGATGTTGAACTCCGCATGTATCATTCTTGCCGTTTTCATTGGTGATTTTCTAAAACGTAGACGGGTATTTCGTGCATCCTCGGTATCTTGGTGGATCGGCAGGTTTATATTGTTCATGATCTTTTTGTATTCACGTGTAAGTGCATCAACTCGTCGTAAATGTGAAGGTGGAATGTGACTTAATACTGGAAGCCATTGGGTGGGAGTTGATTTAATTGTACCAGATATCATCCTCGTAGTGCTGTGCAGCTGACTGTGTAGCCAAACTGGGGCACAATATTCAGCGGTCGAGAAAACAAGGGCTAAAGCAGTAGAGCGGAGAGTGGAAGCTGATGCTCCCCAGGTGGTACCGCAGAGCTTCTGTATAATGTTATTTCTTTGTGTAGTATTGACCAGCATTTGGAAACTCGAAGGTCAAGTTTAATTTGTTGTTCTGCGATTTTTGATCAACTTCTGGTGGGGACTGGAATCCAGCTGCAGATATGGTTTTAGAGAGCTTGCATTTGAGTGACCCATTAATTTAATTAACAACTAAAGATCGATGAGAATGGTTTGGTATATTGTGTTTTCCTGTGTCTATTCCAATTTTTTTTATCTGACATTTTTGTCCACTTGATTCCAAGTGGACACAACAAACCAAGTGAACACAGTGAACCAAGATTTATCCTTCCAGTTGGGGTGAACGGTGAGAAAGAGTCTGTCTAATAAATTGTTTGGTCCTCCTTTTTTCATTAATTTTAAAAATAATCTATCTAATATAATTGCTGTTTGCCAAACTTTTCAAACCGCGTTGATTTATTTTGAAAAAAATTGTGTTGTATTCAATTCGTAAATTCTCCGATAACATCAAATTCCTTCTGGAAAAGTAAATCTTGCAGTTTACGGCCTCATTGCCTCTCAAGCAAGTTCAAATCAGCAAAGGTGAAAAATATTTTGTTTTTTGTGCTCCATCTGGGATTTCCTTGTCGTAGCTTTGAATGTTTTATTAGTTCTTCGGTGGATAATGCTTTTGAATTGGGTTTTTTTTTTTTCTTGACCACTTTGAAGCTGCCTCCACTTGGTATATCTGGCCAATTATGCACATTTGAAAAATATATCTATAAAAGGATCGATTTTTATGCCGTACTTCGTAAAATATTTTTCTTGTACCATTTTTGCTGTGGTATTCCACATTGAATTTACAGACAACTCTTTATAGTCTTCGCCATTGCCTTTTTTTCATGTTAAAGGCATAATCCTCGAGAAATTTTGATAGTTCCGTTATGGTAGTACATCTTTCAAGCGTAAAATTTCTCATTTGTAGGATCTCCGAAAATTGGGTCCAAATGAAGCTTATCGACCTCTGCGTGTTCAATGGGACATTTTTTGAAACCAATTTTTCGACTTCTTCACCTGACTGGCATCCAAATCTTGATTTTTCGTCTGGATTCATGATATCTGACCAAAATTGATTACGTCTCTGAAAAATAACGGGCAGGAAGGAATTTTGACAGTAGGAAACGTGACGTTACTATGACGTTTTATCATTTAAAAATAGTCAAATTGATTGTGAAATTTTATTGACTTTTGTTCATCTCCTTATCACCTCAATCGGTATACACTATCTTCAAAAAATCGTAATGCCGCTTTTTCTTTGGTTTTATATATTTTAGATACCTTCCTGCAATCCGAATATTAGCAAATTACGTAACTTACTGTCCACACCGTATTGTTGTACTGGTATATTACTTTAGTATTTAGAAACACCACATATATTCTCATACACAATGGCCTCTACTGTGCTGTGCCAACAGAAGTGAATGTAGCTTTTAGTCATTATTTTAGACTTCAGTGACTAATACAAGGAAAAAATAGTTCGCATTTAGAACGTACATTCTACACCCATAAGTAAACGTAGCAATCTGGGACAAAACCACTTCGGTACCTACAGATACGTACTTCTACTTCTAAACAACTTTCTCCAATGGCTCTGCCGCAAAATTCAATATCCAACTATAGATAAATAAAATGCCTGCAATGAGGAAACGACAAAAAAATCCATTTGCGAAATCTATTATCAAGTCACATTTACCAGTGGAATTGCATTTATATGTATTAAATAATTGAATTGAAAACAAATGTTAACGGTTTCTTAGTCATTGTTAGTCATTATATTAAAATATGCAAATTGCAAAAGTCAAGATCAAAGTAATTTAAACCTATCTATAGCAAAAAAATGTTGCAAACATGTATATATATACAAATATATATATATTATATATATATATATATATATATATATATATATATATATATATATTAGTATACTGGTAAGGTTGATTGGGTTAGCAGCTGAATAATGAAAGCCAAAGTGTGCTCTTTTCAACGATTTCGTTATATTTCGTTAAATTTCTTTAACATCTTCAGACGAATGCTACAATATGTTACAAAATGGTGAACTTGTGTATTTTACATAAGATGTAGTGAACACTTACTTGTGTGAGGTTTGCAGGCAAAAGTGGTATTTGAAAGTTCCATGTTGAAAAACTTTTTTGAAGATTTTTTTTTATAGCAAAAAAAAAGGAATAAGTTGTATGTGTTATATGGTGGCTTGAAAACTCAAACAATACAAGTGCATTTTTTTCCTCCAGTGTGCAAGTACAATACAATTATTAAAAAACGTTGAACATTTAAGAAACAAACAGTTAAAACACAACTACATATCACATTCTGGTGTGAACATCAAATCTGGTGTTCAACGGGGATGCATAATATCCCCTATCCTATTCAATATATATAGTGAACATATTATGCGCCAAGTTTTTGAGGAATCGCAACGTGAAGTTGGGTCATCAAAGGCATGATCAACAGTCAAAAATACAAATTCCTGTTGGAATAGCGTTTGGATACAGAACTTCAAAAATGTCAGCCCCAAAGAGGAGAAATTCTTTAACAGAACTCTACTCCCTGTCACAAGTCAAAGCAAATGATGCAATTTTTCAAAAATAAAAGAATTAATGTTTTAGATTGGCCCGGTAAGTCGCCAGACCTTAACCCCATTGAAAATGTATCGGCCATTTGCAAAGCTAGACTGCGCAAAATTGACTGTACTAGAAAAATAAAAATGATAGAAACGGTCATTCAGCTTTGGTTTCGAGATGAAATGATATCTGGGAAATGTTAGAAGCTCGTAGAATCTATGTCAACACGGATAAATGCAGTAATTGTAGCCAAATGGGGACATATTTCCTAATAAATGATCCTAATAACTATAAAGTTAACCTTTATAGTTTTGTCAAAATATATTTTTTTCTAAATAAATTGTTTTTTCATTAAAACAACCTATGGTTTCATTAACTCGCACAGTACTATGCGAATATTATTTGTCTTTTGTCAATTTCACTAAGCTATACATTACTCATAGCATATTTTTTATTTCAGAATTTAAAATACCTTCAACTAGCAATAACGACCCAACTAGTTTACATAGTTGCGTCACAAAATGATAGATCTTACGACACCAACGATTGGATACCTGTGACTCAGAAGGCGTCGGCTGAGGAGACGACACAGAAAAAGGCGACAGCCCGAGTACTCAACCTTGACTCGCCGTCCCAAAAGTTTTTTCCCGATGATTATATCTATAAGAAAAGTAGGCCCAACTTTCAGTCAAGGCCTAAGCATAAGGATCGGTACAATGTGCCCAAATATGAAAACACCTACAAATTCGAGTTACCTCCAACACTCCCACAAAACGGTAAGCTTATGCATCTTTTGTTGCGTAATACCATGGACGGACAAATGTGTTATATTTAAGGATATATATATATATACATATATATATATATATATATATATATATAATATATATATATATATATATATATATATATATATATATATATGTATATATATATACAGGGTGGGCCGCCGGTAACGCCTCGGTCTGTACAGCCGAAACAAGTATTATTTTTAAAAATCGGTTTACGCAACGAGGCCTAGATCCAAAAAGGCTACTTTTTGAAAATAATTTTAATTATACAGGGTGCTCCAGGAAAGTGCTACACATCAAAGTTATGTTTTTTTAAATGGGACACCCTGTATTTTATTGCATTTTTGAATTTTAAGAACAAAATAAGTGTCACGTTGTTAAAGGTTTGTTATACTTAGAGTCTACCGTTTTTGATATATCCAAGTATTTTTAAAAATAAGGGATGTTTAAAACATGCCAATAACTCCTAAATTTCCTAATATTTAAAATTAATTTTTTTATGGAAGATAAAGAATTATTTGTACTCTAAAATCAAATACTTACTATTCAAAAATATTTTACAGGGTGTTTGCGAATTAGATATTTATTAGTGGCACATTTAAACATTAAAAACTGCTTTATTTTAAATGTGACACCCAGTATATTTTTTAATTTTATGAAAGATATTTCAAATACCTTTCAAAAAATATAAATATTCCCTATACCCATATTCGACAGTTTTGGATATAAAACCAAAATTGTTATTTAAAACTAAATTTTCACAAATTTTCATAAAAAATTAATTATAATTAAAAAAAAAACAAAAATCAATCCACATAAATTTAATGGTACTTAACAAAAAGTGTAGACTGCTAGTTTCGGACTATGCCATCATTATATCTGGAGTAATTTGATCGTTTATTAGTAGGTTCATCAAAATCATCAAGTTTTAATGTTTGTACTTTACAGAAACAAGAAGTGTTCACTTACTTAGATGTATAATGTATTTTGTGCATAAAATAATTTAACAAAATATCAAAACTTTTTAAATTACCAAAATATTAAATAAAATAAAAAAAATCTCAAATTACATTCTTAAAATAAAAAAATATTACTGAAGAGTTATGGGATTGAATATTAAAATAACAAGAAACTATTTTTGAATTTACTATGACAAAAATAAAAAAATAGAAAAATAATAAAAGCTGGCTTACTAGCAGACAAAGGCAAACAGGAAGAAGGAAGAAAGATCAGTAATATTAATACAAAGATGTTCTTAGTCTAATAAATGTTCAAAATGATGACCATCTGTTTGAATACACTGAATACACTTGAATATGGTAAGAATCATATCTTCACGTTCTTGAATGGAATATTGCTTCATTTTTTTATATCAAAATAAACTAAATAAAAATATGTAATATAAAATAGCACACTAGTGTGTAAACTGACAGTTAGTTGACTAATTATTTGTTATGAGGAGTATGTTTTGTATACAATTCTAAATGTCTAAAACTATGTATGTAATATAAAATAGTACAACAGTTTGTAAACTGACAGTTCATAGCTATCTTGGTTAAAGAAATTTACTTATTTGTTATAAAGTATAGCTCTCACAGAACTTTGGTTTTATATCCAAAACTGTCGAATATGGGTATAGGGAATATTTATATTTTTTGAAAGATATTTGAAATATCTGTCATAAAATTAAAAAATATACTGGGTGTCACATTTAAAATAAAGCAGTTTTTAATGTTTAAAGGTGCCACTAATAAATATCTAATTCGCAAACACCCTGTAAAATATTTTTGAATAGTAAATATTTAATTTTAGAGTACAATTAATTCTTAATCTTCCATAAAAAAAAATAATTTTAAATATTAGGAAATTTAGGAGTTATTGAGAGTTATTTTAAAACCATCAAAGTCTGCTAACTCTAATGCCACAAATTTGTCGCATTGCTCCCGTACTGATCCCTTACCAAGTTAACATGCTCCTTATCAAACTTGGCTGCACCGTACGAATTTAAACATTCCGTATATGTATTCGGCACCTAGGACTTTTCTATTTGTTCATTGCGGCACGCGTCAATGTTCCAACCAATAGGCGGCGAGGTGCCAAACACGTATACGGAATGTTACCAAATACTATAGACCATAATACATCCAACTCCGACACAAAAGTGGCAGCACGTTGCTTCTAGCGCCACGGCGGCTTGAGTTGATAACTACGTTTTTTCAACATAAACATACAAATTTTCTTTTTCTAATTTTTGTATTATTAGCTAATCTCGCTAAAATAGGGATGCTATGCCATGTTACATTAAATAAATTACCAGCGAGTGCAGCATACACAGCTAACTTTATTGAGAAAGTGGACACTTTATTTGACATTTTTAATTCTTCAAAATATAATGACTAGAAATTCAGAAAGCCAATTTCAATAAAAAAATCATTATCATATTGATAAATTGGACGATTTAAAAGAATTTCTAAGCAATATCAGAGAATTGAACAGAAGAAGAGTTAATCCAACATGTATCAATGGATGGATATCAAATATTAATTCTCTGAAGTTGCTTTGGAATGATTTAAAGAGCAATTATGGGTTTCAATTTCTTTTTACCAAAAGGCTAACCCAAGACTGTATACAAAATTTATTTTCTATTATTAGGGCTAAGGGTTTTAATATAAATACACCTGACAGTGTGAAATTTAGGTGCAACTTGCGATCTGTCATGGCAAATCAGTTACTGCAACCATCAGCGGACAGCAACAGCGACATTGATGCTTGTTCATTTTTAATTCAAAAAGTTGAAATGCTCAAAAACCCAATTAAAGTATTGCTTAATAATCCTATCGAGCATTGCACCGAAAACGACATAAGTAATGACAATTACGATATGATCGAAAAAATATCTGAGACTTATGTGTTAGGATGGGTTTGCAGTCAATTGCCTCACGAACAATGTAGAAATGCAGTATGTAACTCTTTTAATAATTATTCTTTAGAAAATACCTTAATAGAGTTAAAAAAATATGAGAAATCATCTAATTTTAAATTTCCAAATGATGAAGCCAAGGGAGCTTCAGATAAAATTAATGAAATATTTAAAAGGTATTTTCAAAATTATATAAAAGAAAGCGTTGAAAATGTTAAATATAAATTGAAATTAAAATGTAACTTTCAAGAAACTCTCCAAAATGTATGTACAAATTGTTACAAGACTTGTATAGATAAATATTTTAATGTGTTAATAAAAGCTTATGTAAATAAAATTAACGACAGTAATAAGAAAAAATTATATAAATTAAAATGTAAAAATATCAAATTAAAGAAAATAACTCACAATTAAATTTGTATTTTGATTTAATCTATAAATAAACTAATAAATTACACTTATTAAATAACAGGCTATTAAATGCATAAGTTTGTAGTTATCAACTCATACCATAAGAGGGCGCTATTTTGTTTGCTGCCATAAAACTAATGGGAAATGTCAAGAGTTGTATGTATTATAGTCTATAGTATTTGATGTTACTCTGATGCGAAATTTAGAGGATGCGAGGCATGTTGCCAGATTAAAAGATGGAAGGTGGAGGAAGAAAATTCTGAAATGGAGACCTACACACGATGCTTATCGTAATCGAGGATGTCCTCCAACAAGGTGGTCAGATGACATCAAGCACAATCAGCACAACTGGATCCAGGGTGCTCAAGGTAGAATGCATTGGAATTATTTACGGGAGGCCTATGTCCAGCAGTGGACTCAAAATGGCTGATGATGATTACAAAAACAAGGAAGATATAGGAAGCGTCAATACAAACTTATTTTAATGTAAAATTGTTCTTCCCCGCAAAAACAGTAAGAAAATGCCAAACAAGAAAATAGCTTCAGAACAATATGTCTCCAATAGGAGTAGATTAAGTTTGACTTAATACTTCTTTCTAACATGTTAAAGAAGTAAACAATATATCCCTTTTAAATAGACTGCACGCCTATGTTTTACCAATCTGTCTGCCTGCATTTGTTGCGTCATATTATGTAGTCGGTCGGTATTACATTAGTGATTAAGTATAGAGAACAAAAGCAATAAACACTTTGTAGGACAATACCCGCGTGTCTACTTTGAATACAAGAAGTAATTAGTGTTCTCAAAACATAACTGAATACAAAGCGAATTAATATAATAACTGATAAATGTTTAATTTGCATTTTAATATTTCTAACAGAAAACCCAAGGACCTTTACATTTGTAATTTTAATGAGAACAATTTTATTTTGTTTGTATAATAGAAGGGTCTATATAAGTTATATAAGCTTTTTTCATTTTTTATATGATAGAAATTTTCAATATTTAGTTTATAAATGACATTATTGTGTCGATTGTGGCGATTTATCACCGTTGATGAAACCTGAGTGTACTATTACACACCGGAAACCAAAGAACAGTCGAAACAGTGGCGCAAACGCAGTGAATGGCCGCCGAAGAAGGCAAAGAGTGCACATTCGGCCGGCAAACTGATGGCGATTATTTTCTGGGATACAAAGGGCATCATCCACATGGACTACTTGGAAAAAGGAAAAACAATCAATGGTGAGTAATATGCGGCATTATTGGATCGATTCGATGCCGAATTGCGTCGAAAACGCCCCAGTTTGGAACGCAAAAAAGTGCTCTTTCACCAAGACAATGCACCGGCTCACCGATCGGCCATCGCCATAGCAAAACTACACGAATTGGGCTATGAATTGGTTGAATACCTACCGTATTCCCCAGATCTTGCGGCCAGTGATTTTTTCCTGTTTCCAAACCTAAAAAATGGCTCAAAGGACGCCGTTTCGCAACAAATGATGAAGTCATCACAGAAACTTCGGCCTATTTTGAAGAGCTCGAGCAAAAGTACTATTCGGATGGGATAAAACATTGGAACATCGTCTTATTAAGTGTATCGAGCTAAAACAGGACTAGGTTGAGAAATAAATCGATTTAATTCCAAAAAATTTGTTTTTTCTATCAAAGGCAAGTTTTATATCAATCTACCCTCGTGTATTTGCAAGATTATGTTCAGAGCAAATATAATCAAAACATATCAATCGTTTTGAAACTAAATCTTTTATATAGATTGAACGAATTTAAAACGGATCATACAATTTAATATGTCTGTCTGAACTGCATTTGAAATAGTGGACCAATATAAAACTTGAACAAAAATAAATCCATACCTGGCGATAGGCATTGTATAAAAAATCGTTCAACTATCTGTCTCGCAACAATGTTGTTTGCGTAACAATGTTGCCAATCGCCGTGTAATAATCCGATTTGCGGATCTTTTTGAGAGTTATATCTTCTTCGTATCTTTAAATAAATCGGATATTTGCCTATATTGTTTATTGTATTTACCAATCTACTAAATCAGACTAATAACAAAAATAAACTTAATGGTTTACAGTTATTTCATTTGTTTCCTATAAATATTTTATGGTTAACAACTTATTAGAGAAACATCTAGAGGAATGATTTTGGCAACACCGCTCAAAATATCCATCTATGGGAAGCGATAAGTGGTTTAACAGCATCGAGTTAGAATCTATTGAGAAGCTATGAGCATATTAACGTGTGTATTAAAAACGGCGTAGGTAGGAGTGGCTAACGATAATACCAATATGGCGGTGGGATCATGGCCGGACTCAATAATATTAAAACTACCATAAAAATATGACTAGTTATTTAAAAGATTTGATCATAATCTAAAAAAGTGCAATAATTTTTTAATAAACTATGATTTATTTATCCCGTGGTAAACACTAAAAACACGATATATTATACATAAAGATAAATTAATACAGTCAAATACTATTAATTTATTCTCTGAAGTACGGGCCATTACTTTGTTTACATATTTGTATACTAACATGTACAACGTTATTCCTGAAGATTTTTTATTAACATTGCTTCTGCTACTGCAACTACGTTGAGAACAAGAAACCATTATTATGCACTGTCACAATATATTATTACAGTTTCTATAAAAGTATTATAAGACTAAAAATATTCGAAAAACAACAAACGTAAACAAACATATACGATCTGTCAAAAGTGTCAAAACAATAGTAACAATATGCCGAAGTGAGGTCGTTTTTAGTCACGTGATGCCCTCTCCATAGATTCTAACTCGATGTTTGACAGCATAATAAAATCTTAGATTTATGTGTAGCTTTCAATTTTTATACGTGATGGGCGAGGCAACCTACTTGGGTAGAGTTTTGAATTGTTCTTGAATGATTTCAAAATCCAGCAGCCCGCTGAAGTATTGGATTTTTATAATATAATTATTTGGCAACCTTTTGTTGGCCAACCACCTAGAACGGAATTGAGCCGAAATACATAATATTTCGTATGTTCCGAATTTATTTCGTTCAATCTGTATAATGCTCTTTAGTGTCAATGTGCTTAAAACGTTTAGATTTTTAAAAGACTGACACATTGCTATTGTACTCAAATTAGGTATCAATTAAAAGTTTTGATTTACCCTGTACGTTGAAATCAGATGAAAAACCTAGTAAGTAAATCAGTTATTAAGCTGAGATAGCCGCAGCTGTGTAGTCAGCTTCTGCAGTTGAAAGAGGAACACAGTTTGGTTTCTGGGACAACCAAGAAACTGGATTTCTACAATAAAATACAATGAAACCTGTAATGCTTTTTCTATTCATTTTATTTGTGGAAACTAGTTCCCACGGTTTCTTTTTATAAGTCAATGAAAAATTGTGTGTCTCTTTCAAATATCGCAGTACTCTTTTTCCTGCTTTCCAAGTTCCTTGTGTTTGTTTATCAAGTACTCTACTGGGATATGAAACGGCAAACATAATATCAGGTCTACATGTAGTTGCTATATACATAAGACTACCTATAGGTTTCCTATAAGGAACATCAATTACCTCTAGAGTGTTGTCGATAACTGTAATTCGATAATATGCTTTGTTCTTACTTTGTTTAACATAGACTTTATGTTTTTACATTTTTAGTGATTTTTAGTATTTTTTGATAACTGTAAAAATTTCGCAATAATCGCATTTTTTTAAATTTTTTGTTACTCTTCGTGTTGTTTGTTTTATTTTGTTTATTTAACAAACTATTTTTATTTGGGGACTTCAGCGATATTTGACGCATATATATTGTTTTATTATAGGTGGTCCGAAGTTCCAGTATTATCCAAAACAAGAGGTACAGCTCCCAAATTATCAACAACCTCCTACAGTAAATGTATACCGAGCTCCTTCACTGCAGCAGTATGTCCCAAATGCTCAAGCTGTTGTACGAGAGAGATTGCCTTTACCAAATATACAGAGTAATTATGGACAATATAACGTCCCGATTAATAGTACTAATTTTTATCAAACAATCAATCCATATTCCATAAATCAGGAGTTAATAGGAAATATCCAAATCCAAAACACAAATGGAGCCAATCCAGTTTTTTATCAAGTTCCAAGCAAGACAGTGGGAAACCAAGAGAATAAAGTGATATATCAAAACCCAAGTGACATTATTGGAACCCAGAATGCTCAAAATGTGTATTTAAATCAAAATGGAGGTATACCAAATCAACCAGTTTCCGCTAACATAGAAAATTCTGGTGTACCTACAGAAAAAAATGATGGAGCTAAGGAATCCGTACAGTTGGTGTATGTTCCACTGGAAAACTTGAAAGATGGTCAACCTGTTCCTCAGGATACTCAGACAGTTTATAGACAGGTTAGTATTTTTAGCTACTATGTATCTTGTTAAAGTTGTTCCAATATGGCACTTTGAACTAAACAGGCCTTAAAGGATTAATAGCTGTCTTCTCTGTTCTCGTTGTTTTGTGTTTATGTTTATGTGACGAATCAGGTGATGACGATGATGACGACTCTTTCAGTGTCACAGAAGATTCAGAACTAGGACCTTTTAACGCAAAACGAGCTCGTAAGAATTTTTCTAATAAAGATATTACATGGAAAAAGCAAGAGAGTGTACATATTCAGACTCCATCAGTCGCGCCTAGAAAAGTAGGAGAGCAGCACCTTGGAAAGTCACTACAGCCAAAATAGCACTGTTCTCTTAATATTATAGTACGCTGCCTTTTAATGTTAAACTCTGTTTTTTCGACGAGTAATCTTGATTTTTTTGGAGTAAATAGGGCCTGGTATATTCCCATTATGTCCACTGTGCATCTGTTCAAGATTGATGTTGTATTATTTAGGATAATTGTGTCATCATCCTTACAGTTCCCTATACTTGGCTTCAAATTCCTGCTCATTTTGTTTGAATGCTGAAGAACTTTCGAGTTTCGTTTTGATTTCCTAGCCCTATGCTTTCTAACTGTTTTTTCCTCAAATTGCCTCTTTTCTTCTAAGTAATTTTTTTACTTCACTTCTTAGGGTTCAAGCAGAGTATGGCACACTTGAGGGTGGGAAAATTTTTCGTGAGAAAAAGTGACATCCTTTGATGTGCCGTCATATGTGCAGTTGTGGCACGTGACAGGTGAGCGTGAGAACTTTCTTATTGGCAGCATCCGGTGAGGAGCTGTCAGGAGTGGCACGTAGCCAGGTGGGCAGATATGGCACTGTATATTACAAGAAGTGACATACGGAAAGATGATACGTCATAGTGTCTTTTTGTAAAAAGTATAGTCGAAAACAAAACGTGAAAGCTATTCCACGAGAAAACTAATTGACAGTTAATAGACGAGACAGAAATGAAAATTTACATGACATTTAAAAGCCGCACTCTTGTGACGTCAGTGGTTCGTTCCCATTGAAAAATCAAGGCAGCCGTAAACATCAACGGATGGCGTCGATAAGAAACTTCCCACGCTTACATACCCATCTGGCCACGTGCTGCCACACCTAGCGGCACATCAAAGGTTGCCGCTTTTCGCCAAGGTTCAAAAAATTCTCCTAACCAAAGTGTCCAATACTCTGCTGGTTCGGTATTCCTCATTTCCTGTTCTTGTGCATCCTGCTTCATTTTTCTTTAGGTATGCTCTATTTTTGTTTTGCTTTTTGGCACTCCTTGTCAAATCATTCATTTTTTTTCCGTATTTTTAGTCCGTATCTAATGCAATAATCGTTAATTCTTTTTATCAATTATTGTAGCGATTCCAGGGTGTCTGCCATTATAACGGTGTCATCAGCGAATCTTATGTTATTTACTATTCTTCCGTTTACAGAGATTCCATCACCCAGATCCGCTATCGCTTCCTGGAATATGGCGTCACTGTACACGTTAAACAGTAATGGTGACAGAACACAGCCCTGTCTTACTCCTCTCTTTATATCTATATTTTCGGACTTTTGTTCCTCTATCTTTATATTGGCCTTTTGATTCCAATACAGATTGATAATGATTCGTAAGTCTCGTCTATCTAGATCTTTGTTTCTCAGTATTTCTATTAGTTTTTCATGTCGGGCCCTGTCAAATGCCTTCTCGAAGTCGATGAAACAGGAATAAATATCTAGGTTCATATCTAAGCATCTTTGAGAGAGGACAGTAAAAGCAAACAATGCCTCTCTCGTTCCCAGTCCCTTGAGAACACAAACTGAGTATCATCCATATCCTCTTCTAGGTTTCTATATAATCTTCTATGAATCACCTTTAGAAATATTTTGAGGGTATGGCTTATTAGTGATATTGTCCTGTCATCTTTATAAATACTACTTATTGTGTACTATTGATTATAATTTTTTTAAAGAAAGTTTTTTGAAAAATATACAAAAACTTAGTTATAAATATTATTATTTTAGATCGAATCTCCCAGATATGAAAATCTACTCGATAAACAACACCGCCTCGCTGCTATTGAACAAGATTTTATACAACAAGCACTGCAGGCAACGAAACTACAGGAACAAATTCAACTTGGAGATCCCCTCCTACTTCAAGTGTCAACAACACCCAAATCAATTAAAAAGAGAAAGCCTCATCAGCCTCCGCTAGCAGTGTACGTAGAGGGTGAAAAACAGCAAGTGGAAATATCCGACGTGCTTGAAGCATTAAAAAGTGCCAAATCAATTGCAGTTCAAGATACTATTCAACCGAACTCTCCAGAAATATTCATTGGGCCTTCAACACTAGAAGCACCAGATTATTCAAAATTTCCTCTTCCATATCTTAACAACATTGACGGTAACAGAATTAACAAAAATATTGAATCGCTACCATTTTTTGTGGCACCTTTAAGCTTTAAAACACCTCCAGGATTTTCAAAAATTCCACTCCCTGCACCTCATGTTGGCTCCGTAGTAATTGCTGTCAAAGATGATTTGCATGATAAAAGATCTACTGTAAGACCCAGTCATCTTAACAACATAAATATACAGCAGCAAATTAAAAATAATCCAACTACCGCCAAACCTTCTTATAACACTTTAAGCCCACAACCTTATCTTGCACAAACTTACTACAATTCAGAATCATTTACTCCTTCTCCTCAACCACAACTACTTCAATTTTCAGTAAATGATCAAAACAAGGCGTATGATTTTACTGGTGCTAACTACAATCAGCAGATTTCAAATGAATACAGTCAACCTCAAAAGCCACACGTTAATGTTAAAGGTTCTGATGTATCATCTAAAGAAAAGAATACGGTACCTTCATTCCAATATTCTTATATAGACGAAATAGCAACAGGTACAACACCAAAAACTAATCAAAATAATCTAAATGCCTATAACGTAAAAATTCCAGATCCTATCAAGTATGATATACCTAGTAGGCAAGTAGTTAATCAAGAACAATACATTCAAGAAGACAAAATCCCAACATATTTGCCCTCATATAATGAACAGTATTCTAACAATAGGGACAATAAAAAAGCAACAGAACTCCCAGTTCAATACGAACCAATTTCAACTACTTTTGACATAAATCAACAAAGAACGCAAGAACAGATTGTCAATATTAAACCTAAAGCAGAAATACATAATTTGTCACCAACTAGAGATGGTGTTAACAATTATTCCGAAGAACAACAACCTAAGCCTCACCTACCAGATGTAAATCCATTGGAACTTGCAATAAACGAATTTGAATTACACCAAATAAATACACAGTTAGAGGAAAAACCAAGAGTTAAAAACCAAAATACTTACAAAACTCGTCCTGCACAAAATATAAATGGCGACAATGACTATAAATTTGACCCAGAACTTCATAGATTCTCAAGTACCCCGGCAACAATATTAAGAGACAGCTATGTTGAAACTACTGTAAGGCCAACAAAGACACGAGGTCGAGTTAGAACTCGTCCACCAACAACAACTACTACCACTTTAGCACCAGAAGAAGAACAATATACTGTACTAGAAGACTTCGATGTAAGGGAAAAACCTACATCTCGATTTTCAACACCATCAAGCGTTCGATACATTGCACAAACCAAACACGTTGAACCAAATCCAACACCTGCTCAAAATCAACAATATTCATCTGGTTCAGTTAGCGAAATCGAAAACATACCATCCAATGTTTATAGTTTAAACACAAAACAAAATGTATACACTGAAGCCCCTGATAAAGAATATACTTATACATTAAACCAACAATTAATGGATCAGCAAATTTTGCAAGTTGATTCTAAAGAGTCTATTCCCAAGTATGAACAGCAAGGACAGTTTGAGGTAGATCCACATTCCCATCAATATTCAATACCAACAAATGGTGACTATATCAAACAGCAACAATATAATGAGCAGAAAGAGTATAATAACAAGCAGCGATATAATGAAGACAAAGAGTACAACACCCAACCACAATATACTGAAGGGCAGACCTATAATAAACAAGAACAATACACTCAGGATGTTGACGAAAGTAAAGAACATCAACAGGAATACACCAATCCACTGGAAGACCCGTCAGTGCGATCATTACTTATTCCTAACTTATTAGTTCCCACTACAACCAACAATGCTTACACCGGCCCTTCGTATTTACCAACCACTGAAAGAATAATCGTAAGCACCGTAGCAACTACTGAAAGACCTATTGAAACGACTACCACTAGCCGCGTGCGTAGTCGGACTAGAGGAGGAAATAAATACAGCGAAAGTAGTACTACTAGAAGACCATCGTCAAGACGGCGTCCAACGCAGTATTCGAGAGTAACTACAGAACGAACAAGGCACACTCCTGATGTTGAATATAGCACAAGAAGTACCAGTACTAAACAGAGGTTTAGAACACGAGGACGTACCACCCCAAACTCAATTACTGAGAGGTTAATAACTACTGAAAACGAGGTAGGTTTTAATGATTTGTAAGTGTTTTGCTATTATGATATGTCTATCTTTTTGTATTCATTTTCCCAATGTAAAAATCCAACAATTTTATTTTAGATTCATGAAGCCCCAAGCTCTGAGGCGTCCGTAAATATCCGCACCCATCCAGATGGATCTGAATCCTACATGCAGTATGATCAAACAGTAAATCAAAGAGAAGAAAAGCCAATTATTGATGAGGAATATTCCAAAGTTCTAGTTACTTCTGGTCGGCCAATTATACAGTATGAAAACACAGCTTCTACATCAAAACCTATATTAAACGTTCAAGTCACCCATCCTGTTGAGACTTATCAACAGTATGAAGAAGAAGATATTCCCAAAGTAAAAGTTCGTGGAAGAATAAGAGATAGGCCCAGAGTTACATCAACTACAACAGAAAAAGTTGTAACAAGGCGATTAACTACTTCTAGGCCGGTAGTAAAGGAAGAAGAGGAAGAATTTTATGGATTTTTCCAGCAACCAGACTTTGGGCCCCCACCAGAGAGTAAAGTCGAAGTAACTACAATAGCACCTCCACCAAGAATATATACATACCAGACGCCCAGTCAACACAGAGAAGACTACCAAGTACCTCTAAGCAGTATTAATACTGATACTTCAACTGTTCGATTTGTAGGGGAAATTGTGCCGAAATATACAACCAGTAAGGAAGTTCAAACAGAAACGGAAACTCCGAAGCCCAGAATTAGAAGTAGAACAAGAACATCACAGCGTAAACCAACATACAACCAAGATTACCTAGATAAAACAACAAAACGCAGTAGTGTTATTAGATCAAGAGGAAAAACTCATTATCGACTACCAGAAAATCTAAAGAAACCAAAAGATGAAGAAGCTGATGTAGAAGGTGGAAATTACCCAACTCCTTTTCTTCAAGGAAGAAGGGGGGTTACAACACCAAGTCCCGGATTTCAAATAACTGTTGCACCTGATGATGACATCGATGACGATCAGTCACCACACTCATCCATTCATCGACCAAATATTGTTGCTTCGCCAGAAGAATGGCATGATGCATCAATAGATCATGTTAGTGACGGTAAGTTCTAGCTAGTAAACGTTTTTACTGTATCTAGTTTTTCCCTTATCTGGAAGCAGTTTGTTCTACACCATTTGTATTGCAGTCAGCTGGCTTATTTGCAGATCTCCCATTAACTATACCATCGGCACTACAGTAGATCGGCTTTATATCTATCTTATCTTTATATATATTTCTCATATAAATCTGTAATACCTTCTTCTTCTTCTTCTTCTTTTTATATAGACATGACTCTGTCTGTTTTTCAATGTGCCTCCATAAGTTGTCATTCCATCGTTTTCGTGGTCTTCCTACTGATCGTCTTCCTATTGGGGAACCTTCTCTTGCCGTCTTTAATTTGTTGTCATTCGGCTTATATGATCGTTCCATTCTACTCTTCTATTTCTTACCCAGTTTTTGATGTTCTCCACCTTGCATCTACGTATATCTCTACTTCTAGCTCTGTCCCATAGTGTTTTACCATCAATTTTCCAAGTGTTTTCATCTCTGCTGTTTCTAACATCCTTTTTGTCCTCTCTGTGTCAGGTCTAGTTTCTGCCGCGTATGTCATTATTGGTCTGATGACTGTTTTGTAAATTCTGCCTTTCCTTCTTTCCGATATTTTATTCTCTATATTGTTTTATTTAGGCAGCCTTCCTTCTATTTTAGAGCTTTGGGCAGCTTTCCGTAGCTAGATAATGTAATGCCTATTTAAACTCCATAACTTGTTCTATTATCTGACCTTCCAGCTCCAATTTACTGTTGTAACCATGCATTTTATCTTTTTTGGGGAAATTAACATGTCAAATTTTCTGGTGGTTATAATAAATTGTATAATTAAACTTATGTACATATTTTAGTTAGAATATTCGTTGTCTTCTTAGACTTATCTTGCCCTCTATTTTTCCTTAAATTTTAAACCACAAGATGTCATATTTGTCTCCATTTCATTAATTTTTCTCTTTTGGGTTCCTTTTACTACGCTTATTTGTATTATTATTTCTAAATGAGAAACTTTTTATGTTTTAGATAAAACCAAAGGAAACTTAATTGACACTCCACAGGAAGAACCAGTACAGCTGTTTGAAAATCAAAACCTTTCCTCTGACCAACCTTTTGCTTTACCAGTTAAATCATCTTTAGAAGAAACAACTACTGATAAGAGTGACGAGCAATTTAGGAAGACAACACAAAAGATCGAAGAACAATTTGAAGCTATAAACAATTTTAACAGAACTACAGAAAAAAATGAGAACGTTGAGAAAAAAGAAGAGAAGAAAAAACGAAGGAAAGGGGTGTGGAAGTTGGTTAAGCAACGACCTGTAGATCGTTTAGAGGCATCTGAGTCTCAAAATTATTTCTCAGTGTTGAATTCTTTTCATGATATTGAAAAAGTTGGTGATCCTGCTTTAAATAATAATGACCAAAAATATGAAAAAACAATTAATAGTTATATGGACTATGTTAATCCTTTCGCTCAACAGGAAGGAAATGTTAGACAATTTGAAAGTACCGTAGATGATAGAATTGCTACAACTGAGCAGCCTGATCCAAAAACCACGACACAAGATATTGAAAAAGAGGAACCAACGGAACCTGTAGATTATACACTCAGTACAACCTACTCCACCACGAATTCTCAACCAAACTCTGGAGAAGGAGATTTCCTTGATTCAATATACGAAATGTTTGGTATGTCACGTGATGCTCAAACACAAGGAGACTCTCTAAATATTACATCTACTGAAGCTAGTACTGAACAGACATTAACAACTTCTCCAAACCCAACTTTTCCTGATGAATTTACAGATGAGCCAGTGCGTTCAACTACCGTAAATGTCACAGAACCAAATAGTGAAACTACTACTTTGCAGGACTTTTTGACCACCTTAAAAGTTGAAGAAGAGGATCAGGACAACAAACTTTTACCTTTTCAGGTAAAACCGTGGAACATGAAAGAAGTTAGAACATCTACGTCAACAGAAGTTTCACACGAAACGGAGATTTGCTACAAAGGAAGGTGTGTCCGATCACATAATAAAAGAAGAAGACATTAATATTTTCTGAATCAAGAGTGAAATGTGAGCAGAATGTGAAAAATTAAGAGAACTAACAAAAAATCTAAAATGTATTACTGTACAGGAAAATCGGAAATTAGGTAAACATGCCTTTCTACAGTCAATTTGACATTATATTGAATGACAAGTATTTAAATCAAGAGATCGACTCGGTTTGACAGCGAAGATTAAATAACAAACAAATGTTTGTTCCCCTCAAATGTAACTCCCTACTGCCCCGCATCAACCCCTAGTTTTTTTTTAAATAGCAAATGTGGTCGAGTGGCACGTCATTTGAAAGGTAATTTTTTTCTCTACACGACACTTTTTTTTTAATTTACATAATAACTTTGAAGGTAATTTTGGATTTAACTAATTTATTGATTGAATTTCAGTAATAACAAGAAAAACATAAAATTTCATTAAATGAACTAATTAAATATTGTTAGTGACCTCTAACACAATAATTCAATCAATCTGCAAATCGATATCAACATGCCACTGTGTTGCAAGATATTTTTTGTTTGTAAAAATATTACTTTTTCATATGAATTTTTCTTCTTCTTCTTCTTCTTCGCGCGACTAGGATTACTCCTGTTCTTATTCTGTTTCAATCGTTGTTGACTGCACATTATCTTTCCACCTTTTTAGCGGCCTTATAATGTGTTTTCTGCTATACATCTTGTTGTTTTTACAGATGTTCGCTAATCTATCTGGTCCCATTCGGTTTACGTGTTCGTTCCAGTTTTTTTTTTGTTTTTATCCACCTGTTAATATTTTGAATTTTGCATTGTTCGCGTATTCTTCTGTTGCTTTGTCTGTCTCTTAATAATATGCCAGCTATTGATCTTAATACTTTCATTTCGATATTGTTGATTTGTTGTTTCGTCTTTCTTGTATCGGTCCTTGTCTCCGCTGCATATGTTAGGATTGGTCTTACTGTTGTCTTGTATACTTTCATTTTGCTTTCCGTGGTTAGATATTTGTTTCTCCATATGGTTTCTCGGAGGCAACCACTTACTCTTGCCGCTTTTGATGCTTGCCTTGTGGTCTCTGTTCTTATATCCCTGTCACTAGTGATCTCTCCTCCTAGGTAATTGAATTTCATTACTTGTTCTATAATTTTGCCATATATTTCTAGTTTGCATCTACGCGGCTCTTTACTGATCACTATATATTTCGTTTTTTCTACTGATATTCTCATATTAAGTTTGTTTGCTGTGATATTGAAGGTGTGGAGCTGCCTTTGTAGGTCATCTTCGTTATCAGCAATTGTCTTACTTCGTGGATTATTTGATTTATCACCATATTGAATAACAATTTGCTGAGCGAGTCTCCTTGGCAGATTTCGCCTTTTAGTTCTATGCATTCTGTTTCTCCTGTTGGCATTATAACTCTGGTCTTGTTGTTCTTGTTATTATCTGATGGTCTATTTGTTCAGCTTGTAATAAATTTAAGATGTCATTTCGGTTCACCCTGTCAAAAGCATTTTTTAAATCTACAAAGCATTGTATGCTGATTTCCATATTCAATAGACTTCTCTATTATTTGTCTGATAACAAAAATTGCGTCTATTGTGCTGCGGTTCTTCCAGAAGCCTTGTTGTTCATCTGACATGTTCGCTTTTTCCTCGATTTTCTAAGCTGAAGTGAAGGCTCTCCATATTCGCAGCACATGCTCTTAATAGGACTTGTGTAAAGTGTTCCAAATGCTATCCCAATTGCGGAATTATTAACTGGATCGAGAATTTTTAGTATTGAAGTTTTTGCCGAGTTGTACGCAACTGTCCCATAATCAAGTTTGGAGCTTACCTTTGTTTTGAGATTTGTCAACGACTGATTATTCAGGATATTATTATAAAGGCTTACAAAAATGGGATATTATAGTCAAGAAAGAGTAGAATTATAGTCGTTATTGGAGTAACAGTAGTCCTCATTTATTGATGGAGACAGATACACAAACACCTCAGAAATTAAATGTATGGGTTGGCAATTTAGAGAATCACGTTACTGGACCATTATTTCTTGAAGAAAATCTCAGCGGAACAACTTATTTAAATTTGTTAAAAGACGTTATTGATCCGATCATCACTGACACAGTGGAATCTGATAATAATCTTTTAGAGGATTAACTGACTTTCCAACAAGACAGGGTTACCCCACAATATGATATACGCGTAAGACAATTTTTGAATCAACATTTTCCAGGGTTATATTGGCAGAAAGAGTCCAATAGTGGCCGGACAGATCACCGAATCTTTCACTTTTGGATTTCTTTTGTGGGGATACCTAAAATCCAAGATATACGCCACTCCGTCTGCAAATCTTCCAGAGTTGGGACAAAGAATTCTGACAGAATGCCGATTATTGACACCGAAGATATTTGCAAATGTACAAAGCGGCTTTGACAATATACTGTGTTATTGTATGAAAGTCACATGAGGACATTTCGAAAATTTAATTGGTTAATTTGGTGAAATTTTATGTTAAATCCAACATATCTTCAAAGTTATTCTAATGATTAAAAAAAATAGAGTGCCCTGTAGAACAGAAAAATACCTTTTAAATGATCCATTCGATCACACTTGCTATATAAAATAAACTGGGGGTTAATTCGAGGCAGTAGGGGATTACATTTGGGGGCATGTATTTTGAATGAAAATTCGTCCCCGTTCCGATACAAATTGACGTATTTTTTTTTTTATTTTGGAGCATATCTGAGTTTCTGGGAGGGGGATTCAAATTTTCGTTGGAACACACTGTATATGCATAAAGATTTCAGTCTATCCGCTATTGACAGAACTACTTTAGCTGTCATTTAGTTGTTACGCTTTTATTTGCTTCCCTTTATAGTTAATATAAATTTTAGATTTCAGCAGTATTCCTAGCTACAAGCATTAATACTGACAAATTCAAAAGTAAACGCTGCATGAATTACTTGTAAAGTACAAAAAAAAACTAAAAACATAAACATATATTTCTAAATTTATGCTACTTTGTTTTTGGCTTATTTTTTATAAAACTATTATATGCTTTGAATGCCAAGAAAGCCTTTTAGAAGAACTCATAAAATAGCATTGAAAATCAATTTCACTTTGTCCCTAGAAAAAAGCTTTTACTATCTTAAAATATGGATAAGATGGTAAAATCAGCTCTTGGCTGGATTTTTATTTGGTGTAGAGTACTTGACAGTAAATATTTGGAAACCCCTGTAGCCAAATTTTTAGCTCCTTAGTTGGCCCCTGGGGTACCCTATAGCAAAAACTGTGTGTTTTTTTTAAATTTTCCTCAGCGATCCTTTACTTTAAAAATCTGAAAAAAATGACAAACATATATTATGTTTTATTGTCCAAAAACACATACATTTTAATTTTTCAAATAAAGGTCAGGTTGTATAAGTAACTTTTGGCAAACTTTAATTATTTTCATGTGTTTTTTTTTCGGTCTTTTAAATGGCGGGTTAGATTTCGCTCATTATATTTTTGCTGCTGAAAATCCTCAAAATTAGACAAAAAACCATTTTTTAATATTTTTTCTCATGTTTCAACCACATAACCTCATTTGAACTTGACAAATATCGATTTTTGTTTCTCTCACCCCTTTATTCAAATGATGATTATCATTTAAATATGTTCATGAAATATTGGTCATAGCACCCACGTTCAAATCGTGGACTTACTCGGGTGAGATCATCAGAGTAGTCTGTGATGACGATGGGCGCTTGCATGGCTGGAAAAGGCTACAGCTGATCTCAAACCGTGTGAGGAAGCATCACTGGCTGTTGTCAGTCAAGATAAACTCCCAAAACTTACCAAAGCCTCTTTATGGATCCCGGAGGATGCTACTAGCACCTCTGATGACCCAGAAAAAGTACTTCGGAGGTTAACGGCGCAAAATCCAGACATTTGCGATATGGTGCACCTTTCACCATGAGGTAAAAAAGGATCCTAAAGAACACCTGTTTGTCTTCGGAATCGGAGACGATAACATGGCTGTCCTTAGGAAAAGGGCAATGAGGTTGAGCTATACGTTCACCTCATTGACTCTAAAAGCAAGCAGCAACAAAATGAAGGAGACCTCCTCGGAACCAGGAACCAACAACCAAGAAGTTAGAAATTTTTAAATTTTTGGAAAATAAGTAGGTTTATGTTATTATTTATGTTTCAACCACAAAATTGTTTTGTTTTTTGTATTGAATTGTGTAAAATTTTAAACACAACTTTAGTGCAATATAAGTTTATATAACAGAAATTTGCGGATATCGTTAAAAAAACATTATCTTTGAGGGCAACTAACTTTTTTTCCAATTATTTTTCACTTTTTATTAATTAATATAAATTGTTATTTGACACATGTAAAATTAGATACTCAAACAAAATTCCACGTAAATCCATTCAAATATAAAAAAGTTATTAATTACTGAAGTTTCGTAAAATTTTCAATTGCGTTTTTCTCGAAACTACATTTTTTTTTCATATCCTACTGTCGCGTTGCTTTGAGACGACATGTGTTATCTTTTGCACGTTGCAGTGGAATTTTATAATTTTATTGTACTTTCCAAGTAATCGTATGATACATGCTCAATATTTTGATGACAACGCTTTTCCTTTTAGGATTTAAAACGAAGTTTATGCTGTAAATATGAATGAATGTTATTGTGATATTATTAGACATGAGTGAATAAGGAATGTTTTGTATCATTTATATATTTTATTTGCGATTATTTATTGTATAATTAATTTAATAATTTAGTTAAACAAATAAAATAAGTTAATGTAAATGTAATAAAAAAATAAACATAAATATTTGTTTTAATATGCCCAAAACTTAATTACTTTGAAAACTAACTTAAATGCAGACATAGCAGTTGAGAAACGTATTAATTGAAGTAAGATTTGAAACTTTCGCAACAAGTTATTGTTCTGTAACCAAATTTGAAGGTTACCAAATCCAAAATTTATAAAAAGGACAAAAACGAATTATTTTATTCCATCACAAAAATAAATGGACTGAATTCACCAGCATTTTCTCACTTTTTGGTATGTGAAAAGAACGCTAATAACCTAGATAGTCTTAAACCCGCCACTCGCGTTCCAACGCCGCATACGATTTGATCGAATGCTACAAAATTTAATATTTAATATAATTTGATCGCGTATTTGCACCATTTGACGGCAGACAAACCAGTCAGTCTGCAGCAGTACGACAGAGTTGGTTGAATTGTAAATTTGATCGTGTGTATTGTGATGACAGTAGCCGGTAGGAACTCCTTTGGATAGTCCTCTCAGGGAAAATGAATCAATCCCTGCCCTCCGCAGATTCCAGGTGTTTCCTAACCCTGGAAACTAGTATCTGCTTAGGGTCCCTTGTCCAGGGTCATGGATAAAGGCCACAGCGGCAGCCACGGCGGAGAAGAATACCTTCGGTACGGTGTGGATGGTGGAAGTGGCAATCCCTTGATTTTAGGGATTGTATAAAATCACTCACCAGCCCGTCTAGCCAGGGTGGTGTTTTAAGGTTAAAAAAACCTCTTAACAAGAATATGGCGATATGTAAAACAAAAGAAATGGGTCCCCATATAGATAGACCATACAGTAATGGCAAATCTCACTTCTTTGGAAAAAAAGACATCTTCATGGAATCTGGGGGATGCAAGAAATCGCTAAAAACCACACGATTGAACATCGCAACTCTAAATATAAGGTCCTTAAACAAAGATAAAAGAACATCAACTCTAAGAAAACATCAAGGACTTAAAATGAGACATAATTGGTCTAGCAGAGGTAAAAAGAAAAGGGGAAAAGTGCATAACCCTAGAATCCGGTAACGTCCTATACTACAAAGGGCGAGAAGAACAAAGCCTAGATGGGGTAGGATTTCAAAGAAATATGCACATAAAATAGAGCAATTCGTAGGAATAAATGAAAGAATTGCAATGATTAGGCTAAATATAAACGAGAACATCTCCCTGAAAATTATTTAGGTATTTGCTCCAACCGCAGCACATCCCGATGAAGAGATAGACGAATTCTATGAAAAAATTGCAGAAACTAGCACAAATTATCACAGCACGTCATCATCATCATCATCATCAATCAGCCCTGAGTTGTCCATTGTTGAACATAGGCCTCCTCTAGATTTTTCCATCTGCTTCTGTTCTGCGCCTCTGCTATCCAATTGGTCACGATTCTTTTGAGATCGTCGGTCCATCGCGTTGGGGGTCTTCCTCGGCTTCGCTTGTCAGCCCGTGGTCTCCACTCAAGCAATTTTTTTGTTCAACTGTCGTCTTTCATTCTTGCAACATGTCCTGCCCATCACCATTTTTGCCTTGTAATATGTTCGATAATGTCTTCCACTCCGGTTCGTCTACGAACTTCCTCGTTTCTTATTCTATTTCACAGCACGTACACGATGATAATTAAACGTTCACATTCAAGGACACTTCAACGCTAAGATCGAACAACGACTTGAAAAAACCGAAAACTATATAGGACAATTCAGCTTTGGAGTTAGAAATGAGAAAAGAAAAACCTTCTTTAACTTAATATAACTTAATAATATCCAAAATAAGTGTAGAATCACAAAACAAGCTGAAACAAAGAAAAGATTTTCTGAGACAAAACAAAAGAGACAAAAGAAGTGATGCCCGAAATAAGCCACGAATAAATAGAAAGAGCAGTCAAAGAAATAAAAAGGAATAAGCTCCTAGAAGCGTTGGAACCCTAGCAGAAATGCTGAAGGAAGGCGGAGAAGAAGGCATCACATATCTAAAAATACTATTTAATAAATGTCTATTCCAAGGCAACATACCCGAACAATGGAACACTGCTAAAACAACACTAATACACAAAAAGGGAGACACCACAGACCTGAAAAATTATCGACCAATTTCACAACTTTACAAAACTTTTACAAAGATAACTACAAACATGTTAACAATTAAATTTGACGGATATCAACCAGTAGAACAAGCCGGATTTAGAAAAGGGTACAGCACCTGTGACCATCTATATACTTTGAAAATCCTAACAGAAAAGCCTAGGAATACAATCCCCCATTAAGTCTGAATTTTATATATAGATTATGAAAAAGCTTTTGGTAGCGTAGAACTGTGGGCAATAGAAGAAGCATTTCAAAAATGGCTTATAGCGAGAAGTTTTTAAGATATTTTTTTTGGCATTTATAAAGAACAAAAGTGTCTTTCGAAAATAAAATCATCATCATATCATGACAAAAGCGCTGAAAAAAAGCTGTGGATATTTTGTGTTGCTAAATTTCAAGAAGTGAAAGCGAATGCTAATAAGTTGGAAAAAGAGAAAATTAATAATTTTTGAACATCTTACAAAAGAGAATTAAAATTATTAAAGAACTGCAGCAAATTAGGTGCCGGATCAGAGGACATTTATAAACCAAAGATATGGTATTTTCAATTGGTATCTTTTTTGGACGATCAAGATTTACCAAGAACACCTGTCTCTTATACGTCTGATGAAGAAGAGATAAGTAAATAAAAGAAATATATTTATATAGCTTTATTTTGCCAGATTACAGCTCCCTCAATATTAAAATACTCCATTAAATTGATTCTTGTGACCTTTCCAATTTGTGACAAATTCTGTTGCGCGAACTTTGTTGTACATCGATAAAACCATTTGAGGTATCTCCAAGACCTACTGTAACTGTTCAAGATTCGTGATGTTCATGATCCAAATGCAGAGTAGAGTATATACTTGCGGACTTTTTGTTCTCAACAGATTGTGTAAGACGCAACATGTCATCACTAACATCTCAGTTGCTCCTTAATTAACATTAATTGCTGTATGAAATATTTGAAACCTAGGAGCCAGAATTCCAAAAACGTTTTCGTGACAGTCTGCAGTTGGAAATAGCTCTTTATCTGCCTAAATTTCTCCGAGGAAATGGTTTTAGCAAGTTTTTCTCCAACGAAAAAGCATCATCACCGACAAAAACATAAGGTAGAGTCAGGTAATTGTTTTGTAACTTTTCTGGTTTAGGTATTTGCAGACTTCCAGACTCCAGTTTTTCATAAAATATTGTGATATTTAAAACCCCATCGAAAATAACAGTAGATAATTTTTATAATGTTTATTTGCTACAGCCATCAACATAAAACTGTGAAATCCTTTAGAATTATGAAAATAAGAACCTAAATTAGCTGATGGAACTATCTGAACATGCTTTCTGTCAATGACACCCAAACAGTGAGGAAAATTCCATATTTTCTAGAAAGTATTTGCACTACGCTTTTGTTCCTTTCAGTTTTTGGAAACTAGAACAAAATATATTGGTTTTTATAGTGAATAATTTTTAAGTAACTGAGTACGAAAACAGTCGCACTGAATCGGTAGTCTCACCGTCAAGTGAAGAAAATGAAGATCTCCCAAACATCCCATAAAAGTGGTTGAGTAATTGAGGACTGTGTGTTTTGGAGCAAGCATCATTTGGTCTATTGTGGGATTTTCTGCAAGTAAATTACTTTCATAGCTTAAAATTGATGTTTCGTAGTATAGTTTTTTATGTGGTGGTGTTGAATAGACTTTTGAAGAGATTACTGCTTGAGTGATAGGAAAACAAGATGTGAGTGTTTGGGATAACAAAATTGCAACAGCATACTGACTATTTGTAAACCTGAGAAAAACGTAAACCTGACGTCTGAAACTGAAGATTTTGGAGTATTCTTCACCCGGAATGACGGTTTTTAAACAGAAACACTATTTGAAGAGCATCGCTCTTAACAACAGTTTGGACGCATCTTAATAATAGGCCAATAAGGATTGTTGCTAAAAGTTTTTACTTTACTTACCTTACTTACTAAGTGTTTACTAAAAGTAATTTTTTTGTTGGTTATAAATCTTTACTGTTTAAATAATGATTTAAATTAAATATTTAAATTTTTATATAATAATGCTAATGGTTTTCCGAATTACAAGTAACAATCAAACTACCATATCGTTCGAAGTTCAAATGCCCATCCCACACCTATTTTTCTAGTTATTATTTAAATTAAAAATATAAATTATATTATGTTTAATTATAAGATATTTAACACAGTTTTATTGCTTTTTTAATAGTAAAATCGTAAGAAGTGCATAATGGAATTTCCGTCAAATAAATAAGTTCGCATTTACATTACCAATTGCATCATAAATCACCTACAATGCTACCAACTTTCCGTGTCCGGATCAATTATTCATATCTTATACTGAGAAAGTTTTCCTGCTTGAATGGCCCTGTCATTTACTACGATTAAGTCAAAGTTTCAAGAATCATCAATCATCCTTGGTCCTTCTTTCGGTTTCAATTTAAGTTTAGCAACAATCTTAGCGAAGCAGTGCAGTCTTGTACTGCTCGAAACAGCTAGGTCAATTTCTTATAGTTTATACCTAGGAATGTTTACTTTGTCTCAGTTCCTTCTTGCCTTTGATTCTTATTCTTCTTCTTAGGGTGCCTGTCCGTTCCGAACGTTGGCGATAATTCTGGCTATCATGACTTTGTTGGTTGCTATACGAAATAGCTGTGTTGAGGTCTTTCTATACCATGCTCTCAGGTTAGCAAGCCAGGATATTCTTCTTCGTCCTGGGGCTCTTTTTCCTTCAATTTTACCCTGCAAAATGCATTGGAGTAGCTTGTATCTGCCTTGATTTCTCATTATATGC